GGAACTACAGGCGCAAGTTACCACACTGGGCTAATTTTTCGTTTTTGTTTTTTTGTAGAGATGGGGTTTCATCCTCTTGCCCAGGCTGGTCTCGAACTCCTGAGCTCAAGCAGTCTGCCCGTCTCAGCCTCCCAAAGTGCTGAAATTACAGGCCTGAGCCACCGCACCCAGCCGCAGCCTCTTATTCGTATCTAACAGATTTGCTGAAACACTTCTCCATTAAGTAGGTTTCCTACGAGCAACCTTCATCAAGTTAAGGGTATTTCTTTCCCTTGCTAACTTTTATATATGCATGAGCAAGAATATCATCAAATGCCTTTTGGCACCTATTGAGATAAACATAATTTTTTTCTCCTTTATAGATTTTGAAAATTATATATTGAATCAATCTTCCATTCCTGGTAAAAGTCCCTCTTAGTCACCATATATTCGTATTTATTGTAAATATAACAGAAATGTCTTTTCTCACATAGTTCTGGAGGCTACAAGTCTGAAATCCAGATGTCAGCAGGGCCCTGCTCGCTCTGCAGGCTTTAGGAAACAATCCTTCTTTGCCTCTTTCTGGTGGTTGCTGTCTATAGGTTTATTTCTGATTTTTATTCCTTGTTTATAAGTGAAAATAGCCTATATGTACCTTTTATAAGAAAAACACACACCAAAAAAGGTACTATACATACATATTTTTACATTATCTACTTTAAAATGCACAGGTAAAGATATGCTTAATTTTATATTTTAAAAAAGCCTGGTATGCAAATTGAATGTGTGCAAAGCGAACAAATGGAATATGTTTTAACCTCTACTTACTGAATTCCCTATTTGGGTTACTGCTACCATCATTAATCCAGCCACTCAACTCCAGCAAGAATCACTGAAGTCTCCATTCCTCCCTCCCCACACTATCCCCGTCCAGGCATTCACCAGGTCCCAAACATTCTGAGGTCATTCTACCTCAGGTCTCCACTGGGAGGCTGCAGTATGGAATGGGGGAAGTCAGAATTTTAAGACAGACTTGGTTCTAATTTCACTGCACATTACTGCATTCTCTTGAGCAAATAACTTTACCTCTCTGGGCCCCAGTGTCTTCATCTATAAATATACATGCTACCATTGAAGAACTGTGGTAAACGTCAAATGAGATAACATATGTAAATTAACTACCACATCATATTTGCCATGGAATGCATGATCAAATGGTAACACCAAGAACCTCCCCACTCCTCTTCTTCCCCTCTGTCCCTGCCCTGAGCCAGGCCTTCCAAACGTCACCTGCTCAATGATGTCTTCTAGTCTTTCTGCCATCTGGACATTGCTGACAAAGCTCACTTGCTAAAATACAAATGGAATCAAATACCTGTTTAAATCATGCTACTGGCTCCCATCTACCTACTAGACACAGTTTCAACTCCTTAGCATGACTTGTAAGGCCTACCTCAACCTACCTTTCTGGCCTTATCTTCCTCTACTCTGTTCCATGTACTTTGCCCTCCTGTACAGATGCTCCTCAACTTGAAATGGGGTTAGTCCCAATAAACTCATTGTTGGTTGAAAATATAAGTGAAAAATGCATTTAATACACCTAACCTACCAAACACTGCAGCTTAGCTTAATCTACCTTACATATGCTCAGAACATTTACATTAGACTACAGTTGGGCAAAATCATCTATCACAAAGCCTATTTTATTGTAAAGTATTAAATATTTCATGTAATTTATTGAATACTGCACTGAAAATGGAAAACATAATGGTTCTATGGGTACTCAGTGTACAGTTTCTACTGAAGGCCTATTGCTTTTGTACCACTGTTAGGTCTAAACATCATTAAGTTGCACCACCTATAAAAGTCAGGGACACTAAAATTTGTGCTTTCTCCTGAAACCTCAAGCTCTTTCACAGTGCTTTGCCTTTGTGTATGCTACTCCCTCTTCCGGTAAGCCCTTCCCTTCTTTTCTTCTAAGCAAAAATTCCTATTCAATCTTCTAAGACACAGCTCAACTGGTACTTCTAAAAACAAAGAAACAAACAAACAAAAAAAACCAACAAAAACCACAGAACTAATTTCTGTCAGCAATGCTCTGATGGCAGCTTTTCTGCTATTCTTAAAATCGTTTGATTGTACTACGTCTTTCTCCATTTACTGAGGCAAAAACTGGGCCTTATTTTCTTCTTTATTAACTCCCCCAAAAGCTATGTCATCTGTGTATTCAACACTTTGCTCCTGAATGAAATAATGAGTAAAATAAATAGAATTTCTGTTTTAAAGAAGACCCTATTAACTTTTTCAATAAAGCAAAGCATCTTCTAATCATGTTAATCAGACTTTCAAAGTTTATTTTTAAAAAATAATAGGTTTTCTTAAGTTAGACGTGGTCATAATGAAACCAATTTGCCCTCCTGGCAACTCTGAGGACTCAGGGAGCAATGGCAGAGCCGGCTAAGTTCTCTAGGACTCAGGGAGCAATGGCAGAGCCAGCTAAGCTCTCCAGGAGGTCTGATTAAACGCAGGCTGACTGAAAGGCCTATGAAATAATAACTCCTCACGTGCTGATGGTCAGCCATGATCAGCAACCACAAGTATTATATTATTTAGAAGGAATGTATTTCCAGGACATAGACTTGTTCTCAATGAACAATTTTCTTCCAGAAGTGCAAGCATCCTGCTACTTCCTCTCTTTAAATAAATGAATTTGGTTCTATGACAGTTTGTTCCTAAAGATGGAAAACACAGCTCGAGAAAGAAAAAAAAAAATCAGCAACATTACTTGTATAGGCTGCGATACTTTAAAAAAAAAAAAAAGTAACCTTCCTACATCATAAAACCTCCCTAAAATATACACAATTCAGTTGCACATATGGTGTTATGTATCACACACCCTGAGCTAAAAGGTAGCCATGAGGGTCAAGAAATTCAGAATTTCTGGTAGCCACAGATAGTAACAGTTGCTCTAATTAGAAACTACAGAAAAAATATAAACAGTATGATCTTAGTCTTACAATCTTTTTAAGGAACTCAACATGCAAGTCACCAAAATAATTCCTAATTTTAGAAAATAAATGATAATTTAAGAATCAATATTCCACGATAATTTTTAATAACAATTTATTTCCCTTTAAAAAAATCAAATGTTTTTCTCATAATATATTATTTTACGACAACAAAGAAAAAGAAAGAGGGAAGGAAAGAAAGACCTAGAGAGAAAGAAATCACCAGATTTTAGCTCAAAGAGTAGAGCCTGGGATTAATTTTTTAAGATTTGTTTGTCAATTTCACAAACTCAGCAGTGGAATAAAAAGCTTAATACAGGTATGCAAAAAGGAAGCCCTCGAGATGTTTTCACCAGGATGAAATGGGATTAGCTTTGTAGTTCTTATAATCTTCTTCACAGAAGAATGCAATTTCAGTTTCACTGGCTGAAAAAAAACAGAAAATAGAAAACAAGATTTCAATGTAAATCTAAATTTTAAACAAGTATGGAAATCCATATGACTTTGATTCGGAATTTTAGAATAGCTTCAGATGCCTAAAGTGAAAAAGATGAGTTATTTGTTGGGTTGCACAATGAATTTTACCAAATCAACAGGAAGTTTCAGGTGAAGTTTTAAGAATTGAAAACTCAAATGATTTAAAAGTAAAAAACAAAACCCAAAAATTAAAATCAAGAGTTAATGCAAGAATCTGGTTTTCAGGAAATCATAAAATTGCTCATTTGTAGTACTCTTTACAGTGCTAGGAAATAAAAAACCTTGATTTTTTTCTCAAATATGCTACTCAGGTACTGAAGGAAGGGGAGGGAAAACTCTTTTTCCCCCTTGAAATTAGCCTGTAGGTATAATAATTTAATACTTAGAGGATCAGTAGAATATTTTACAGATCACTTTACATTCTCCCTCATGACCCATCAAAATATGTGTCTGAAGAAGTTAATTTTTTGCCCTGCTTATGATTAATTCATACGGCTTCAACAATATGCAAAGTGAAAGACACAAATTGGCTGCTACCTCAATACCTTCAAATACCTCTAATTATTCACAGGGGAGATGGCACCGCTAAAGGACCCATGAAGGTTCAGAGCAGTCACAATTCTTTCAACCTAGCAGGTCAAGGACTGCGTCTTCTAAAACAGTAAGTCAGCAACATTATTAATTCAGGCTAGAGACAAATCTGATGGAAAGCCTTCCAATTATTAAACATGCAATTCTTTAAGGTGTTGTGCCAACAAGTTCCACATTCGTTTTTTAAATTAAACCAGAAGTTAATACAGTCTGCTTGGCTTTTACAGAAAGAGCAAAAGGGCCTTCAGAATCTCCACAAGAAAACAGTCAAGATTATTTGTAATGAATACTGAGTACTCAATTAACATACTCTCTAAAAACAGACAAGTAAAACTCTCCAAGTCAAATAAATAGGATAATAAGAAAGGGTGCCAAGGATTACCACTGGTCTCTTAGTTTATAGCTCTCACCTCATCATTAGATGTTATCACAAAACAATGAAATTAATGAGATTAGCATGCCATTTCATTAAAAATGTTTTTGCTGTTTTCAAGAATATCAAATTTAACGTTTGTTAATCATAAGCTACCCATGCTCATTACAGAAAACAAACAAGTGTCAAAAGAAGAAAATAAAGCCAGCCACAGTCACAGATCCTCATTCCAGTCCTTACTATATCTTCAAGATTAAATTTAATCTGAGGAGATGAAAATCAGATTGCAGCCTCGCATGACAAGGAGCCTGTGGGGGATACAGCAGAGAGAAACTGGAAATCAATAAGGAGGGGCTGTAAAAAGATGCACCCTGTGCAAACAGTAAGTTAAGGTACAGTTAAATTTTACGAGAAAGTGGCATCTAAAAGAACAGGTAAAAAGACTCCACACTTGAAATCAGTGGGAAAAAGAAAATCAAGAAAGGGAGCTTCAAAAACTTCAATATTCAAAGATATTTGGAAATCTATCCTTTATACAAAAAGCTCCTGGGGTTTCCTTTTTTGAAGGGAAGCATGCCCAGAGGTAGACTTATATAATTTGCAAGTGATTCTAATCAACCTTCTAATGGAAAATGAGCAAAAGACACCCTGTTCTTAATAATCACAGAGCAAGGTTTTATCTGTGATGTGCTATTTACATACAGAACTTTACACAGTGCTTTGCCCACACAGCACTTTGCTCAATCCACACTAACTGTAATTACAATTTTCACTTACTGCAGTTGACATTTATCTGAACCCCTTCTGAGAAACTAATACGTTGTGTGGCTCTTCAGCCATAGTAGGTTCAGAGAAGCTGATGGGAAGCAAGGACTAAGCAGTTCTGTTTTGACACATAGGTTCTCCTGGGTCCAGTTAACTTAAACATCAATCCATTATTTACATAGGGCATTTATGTTAGCTCTCATAATGTAGACTCCAAATGAGAATCTGCAGCGTAAAGATTTTATTTTCAGATGACTGTACTTTTTTTTCAGGAAATCTAGGTAAACAAATGGGTTAAACTATAATACTTCAGGTTGACTTAAAAATTTTTTCACCCTTAACTGGAAAACACACAAATTAAAATTTACTCTGAACATTCAAAAGTAAAACATTAAATGGGTTTTAAATTTTAGTAATGTGGTCCTTAAGCACAAGTAGAATATAACGTTTTCTTACATCTGTAAAACTCTGTGGAAAATGTTTGAGAGAATGATTTCAGGGACTTATACTGCAAATTCATTTGCCAATTTACGTGAAAACCAATTATAAATGATTTTTAAGACCTCTACATAATTACTCTTTCCACCATTATCCCTTAAATTCCTGCTTCCCAAATACTATTTAAAATGGCTCCTTTAAAACTGGCTGGGGATGAACCCTCCGGAAGTCTACCTTGTGCTGGTCCCCCAGGGCACCTGATTTTAAATTAAATGTGCTGCAGGCGGCAGTGCAGTCAGGTGCAGAGTGCCTTGGCATGGGAATCTGAAATGAATGTGCAATCTAAAATCCAATAAATACACTGCCACTTCATCCCTTCGTCTTACTATCAAATGAAACAGAGAACCCTCCAAATACATTTGTAGGATCATTTTAATACTGATGTTCAAGTTTAATGAAATAAACACAAGCCAGGGCTTTCAAACTTTGGATATAAAATTAATAATTTTATAATGCTTCCAGACAGACATACACAACTTTAAAAGGAACATAATGATAATGACTTTAAATGAAAGAATATAAGATCAATTTTAAGTGTAAAATCCCAAGAAAAATTAAATGCAATGTATTTAAACTCTTCAACTAATTTATCTCAATAAACTCATCATCAACAAGGATTTATCCATATGTTCTGAGTCCCTAGCCTTGTGCTAGTCAGCACCAATGTAATATGAGGCACAGCCCCTGTTGTCTGGAAAAAGGAGCCTGAGACATGCACACTGACTTTGTGGTACAGAAAATCCACGATCAGGGAGGCTGCCTTGTGACAATAACCACAGACTGTTGACCAAAAAAATACATGAAGGGTGAGGTGTGGCTTCTGTGGCAATCTGAGACCAAAAGGACGAAGTTTCCCCTTTTCTCCCACTTTAGGAGTATCACCTATCCTCCCAAATGTCACAAAATCCTCATCTACAAATCATTCAAAGCTGTGTTCGCAGCTGAGTTATATTTCTAAGTTTTCACCACCAACAGAGGTCCCAAGTGCTGTGCCTTTTATTTCGCGGCTTGCTTCAAATATTGTTTTGGATCTGCTGGCAGAGAAGATTTCAAACTACAGTTTGAAGAAAACAAACTAGCCAAAAAAAAAAAAAAAAAAAACTCAGTCTTTGCTAGACTGGGTACATGCCTGTAATTTCCACCATGGTGTGGGGAGGTAAAAAGGAAAGCACTCCACAGAGGTTCACTCTAAGTCTTGCTTCTGGAATCCCCAGTTTCCTGAGTCCAACACCCACATTACCAAGTAACCAGACTATCACTGTTTCTATGTAAGAGTGAAAAACGGCCACCATAACATACTGTCGAAGGAAGAAAACACGCATGACCTAAAATATTGCTACCCAGAAGAAGAAAGGGAAGGGGACCCACACCTTAAGGACACACAAATCAAACATGATCCTGAAAGAAAAGGGGGAGCCACAGAATCCCACAATATTAGCTGTACAGACAAGATCACCCAAAGGGGCGAGGCGTGAACGACAGGGATCTGGTTGGGGGCAGATGACAGAAGTGACACGCAAAATGAAAACAAACCACGAGGGAGTTTTGGAATTATTACAAAACCTGGCTTGCCAAGAATGCTTCCCTCAGATAAACACTTACAGTTTGGCCACTGTACCTTGTTTTAAAATGTTTCCAATGAAACACAACTGGCTATGGAAGAGTTACCCAGTCACAATTTCTCTCTTAAACCAGACCAGATTCCAAAGACAACAGTAGTAGAATGTAGCAAAATGAAAGAGAGAAAATAACACTTACAAAAAAAAAAAAAAAACCCTTACACGTAAATTTATTACTTAGGGGAATTAGTCCATAAAACTACAACTGCTGACAACAAGGTAAAAACAATCTTTAAATTATAAGTAACATTTCTAGGTAAAAGTCTCTTCTTGCTTCTATTGAGCAAATCTCTTTTAAGTACATGTTTTCCGTACTGAGTCCACAAGCAAAAACTTCCACTGACGTCAGGTGTAGAATGTTCCATCGGGATCTGCAATGCAGAGAAAAAGCCAAAGGATGAACTAGAGAATTTCTCCGTGAGAAAAGAAATCTTCAAACATTTTTTTCCCCTAATTTCCCCACCTGCAGCCTTTCTTTTCTTTTCATGACTACTGCAGAAAAGTCCTAATGATAAATTTGTTACCCTGGTATTATTCCATGGCAACGGGCTGTGGCCGCAGAGTGACAGCTCTACAGCAAGATCACGTGGTGAAAAGGGGGAGGCAGAGATGACTTCGAATTTTTCTCTTAAACCTCTTAAAAATCTCATCAAACATGGCACTGAGAGAGGGAAAATTCCCCAGAAAAATCACATATTTCAGGCCGGGCGCAGTGACTCACGCCTGTAATCCCAGCACTTTGGGAGGCCGAGGCGGGCGGATCACTTGAGGTCAGGAGTTCAAGACCAGCCTGGCCAACATGGTGAAACCCCATCCCTACTAAAAATGCAAAAATTAGACGGGCGTGGTGGTGCATGCCTATAATCCCAGCTACTCAGAGGCTGAGGCAGGAGAATCACTTGAACCTGGGAGGCGGAGGTTGCAGTAAGCCGAGATCACACCACTGCACTCTAGCCTGGGCGACAGAGTGAGGTCTGTCTTTAAAAAAAAAAAAAAAAAAAAATCACATTTCAAGTGTCATTTTCACAACTCAGTTCTCACTTAGAATTTTTTGTTGCTTTCCAGGTACCCTCATCTCCTTCCCCAGGTATAACCTCAGCTTGACCCCAAGAGCACAGCAACACCACTCTAGATAACAAAGAGAAAATCGCTCCCTGCAGGGACCCAAATCGCCCTGAGCCCAGGGTTGCTGGCTTGCTGGAGTTAGGAGGGACGTTTGGAGTCCTCATACCACCCTGAAATGAGTGGAGAATCTGGGAAAAGAATCTGACTCTAACCCAGGACCAATAGCCTTAAAGTAAGAGGACAAAAAGAGGGACTTGCTTCTCACCTTTACAGATGGTTCATTACATAAGTCAGTTTGAAATTAATCACAAGACCAACAACTCAATATTTTAGTAAAGTCAAAACATTTGCCAATTGCCTTCTCCAGGACGGTTTCCAGACAAAAGCAGTTGTTCTTGAGGGCCTTTTACACACATCACTCCCGATGCCTTCATTGTTTTACACAACCCTTATGACAACCTTCTAGAATAGGTTTCATTCTTCCTATTTTTTACAGAAAACAAAATAGAGTTTCAGAGACGATAAGTGGCTTACAGAAGGCCAGAAAGCAAGCAAAATGCACAGCCTTCATTCTAACTGACTTTCCCCAACTTCATGGGTTTATACTTAAAAAAAAAAAAGGTCCTTTAATTACAAAGGAGAATATCAATTACCGGCAATGCCACCACCTCAAGAAACCATTTCTATAATTTTGGCATATGATCTTTTCTCCATATACACATAAACAATAATCTTACATGTATATTTTAAACATTTTAAAACAATAATGGGGTCGGGCACAGTGGCTCACACCTGTAATCCCAGCACTTAGGGAGGCCAAGGCAGGTGGATCACCTGAGGTCAGGAGTTCGAGACTAGCCTGGCCAATATGGCGAAACCCTGTCTCTACTAAAAAATACAAAAATTAGCTGGGCGTGGTGGTACACACCTGTAATCCCAGCTACTCAGGAAGCTGAGGCAGGAGAATTGGTTGAACCCAGGAGGTGAAGGCTGCAGTGAGTCAAGATTGTGCCACTGTACTCCAGCCTGGGTGACAGAGTGAGACTCTAGTCTCAAAACAAAAACAAAAACAAACCCAAACCATAATGGTATCACACAGCATGTTCTATTTCTATTCAATAAATCAAGCTCTACATCAGTGCTTCACATACAAGGGAAGGTCAGAGCTAACCCCACCACCCCCTTGAAGACCTATCACAACGTCAAAACTTGTCCCTGTTGGCTTAGAAACAAGTATCACTGAAATTCAAACTTGGGAAAGTCTTATTGGTCAAACTGACCCACAGAAAATTCGAGGTCATATTCATTCCTGACAGTGGTATAAGACTATCCATTTTTCCTACACCTTGAACTCCCTTGGACAATGCCACTTTTTTCATGTCTGCTAATCTTATAATTGCTGCTGTCCAAGGTCACCTAGACAGTAAAAGACAGAATCAGGATTTGGACCCAAGCACTCTGGCTCTAGACTCTAATTTTTATTTTTATAGAGATGAGGTCTCACTATGTTGTACAGGCTAATCTAGAGCTCCTGGCCTCAAGCGATCCACTAGCCTGGCATCCCAAACTGCTAGGATTACAGGCATGAGCCATGGCACCCAGCCCCAGACTAGAGTCTTAACACTAGACTCTACTACATAAAACAGTATCTATGTACTCATTTCTAGTAAGTCCTCATTCTCTCCTAATGAGAAGGAGCTATTTTTTATATGTGAGTTATTTCTTCTATCAGTAGAATTTCTCTTTTTCATAGTAATTACAAGGGTTCTTTATAAAGTCAGGCTAATAACGTCTTCTTTTTTTATTTTTTTATTTTTTATTTTTTATTTTTTTGAGACAGAGTCTCACTCTGTTGCCCAGGCTGGAGTGCTGTGCTGGAGTGCAGTGGCATAATCTCAGCTCACTGCACCCTCTACGTTCCAGGTGCAAACCATTCTCCCACCTCAGCCTCCCAAGTGGCTATGATTACAGGCGTGTGCCACCATGCTTGACTAATTTTTGTATTTTTAGTGAAGATGGGGTTTCACCACATTGGCCAAGCTGGTCTCGAATTCCTGACCTCAAGTGATCCTCCCGCATTAGCCTCCCAAAATGCTGGGATTACAGGCATGAGTCACCACGCCCGACCACAGGCTAATAACTTTTTTATCTGTTGTATATGCTGCAAATATTTTTCAAAGTTTCTCCTTTAACTCTGTTTACAGTTTTTAGTTTTTATGTAGTCAAATCTATCACTTATCCCCCTTTATGGCTTCTGTCTTTGAGCTCATGCTTGGAAAGCTCTTCTCCTTCCCAAGATTATGAAATTATTGAACTACACTTTCTTTTTTAAAAATTTTTTTACATTATAACATTTAACCCATCTAGAATTTATTTTGTAATAAAAACAGAGATGAGATAAGAGTTTGAATTTTATTTTCCTGAATGCTTTGGCAATGGGCTTCACATAATTTTCTGGCTAAATCATTATTTTCTCACTTCTCTGAAATGTCAACTTTATCATCCTGTGAAATATTACCTTTTTTTTAGTTTTTGGATTTTCCAGTGTTTTCCATGGAGCTCTCTGTCAATACCCCCATCAATATCAGTCTGTAATATTCATTATGCTTCATGCTTTAACAACAAACAGGGCTACCTTCTAGGTGCTACATGCCCCAATCACAAAGGTGCCACCTGCTATGATAATATAATAGCATTTAAAGAAACAAATGCCAAATTTAAAATCATTCTTCAAAATAACAACTTTACATATTCATAACATGGAAAGACAACAATATTCTAGCAAATATTGTAGATGACAACACAGAAATCAAGTCTAAGATTTCACAACATGCTATTTAAGATCCTGTTTAACTCAGATCTATGTCGGGAATTCATGCTAGTCACATGAATCAATCAGAAGTAAATTCCTGATATACGTGATTAAAGTAACTCAAATAATACTCATCCAAAAAAAAAAAAAAATTCAGGCTCCCAATGTGCACCTTACTAACCGCGGTCCTTAACAAGTGCATATAAATAATTATGAACAATGTGAGGCTGAGGCAGGCGGATCGCCTGAGGTTAGAAATTCATGACCAGTCTGGCCAATATAGTGAAACTGTGTCTCTACTAAAAAAATACAAAAATTAGCCAAGCATGGTGGTGCGCACCTGTGGTACCAGCTACTCAGGAAGCTGAGGCAGGAGAATCGCTTGAACTCGGGAAATGGAGGTTGCAGTGGGCCGAGATCGTACCATTGTGCACCAGCCTCGGCGACAGAGTGAGACTCTGTCTCAAAAAATAAATTAATTAATAAATAATTAAGCAGCATGGCTTGTGACACTGCATCAGTCACCAACCGCAGAGGTGTATCAGGGCCACACTGCCTTTAACCACTGAGACCTCCCTGGCCATCTCCACTTCCCCTCCTGCCAGATCAGCTTTAGGTGTACATACACGTAGAATAACAGTGACATCTAATGGTCACAAAATATGTCACATAACATTTATTTAGAATAAAACCACATGCACATTCTAGGCTGGAAGGCCCAAGCAGGTACTTTTCAGCTGCACACACCAGGCTCCTATTTTAAATTCCATGCCTCGGTGGGCCCTGAGTGATTCGGAAGACCATCAGAAACCACACTGCATGTGATACCAACAACGCCGCGTTACATTATTCCTCATTAGTTCTTACTATGCCCATTTCTCTCCAACCATCAGCTCAAGTGACAATGGTAAGAGTAAGGAGACATGGTACTAACAACTCGCCCCTCAGGAGAATTCTGAGCATACCTTCTGAAAAGAGCCATTTATATTCTGCATATTTGGAGAGCAGACATCTACTGCCCTCAGTCAAGAGATCGGAATGCACATCATTCTCATCCTCCTCCTCTCAGCAGTCACCGGGCAGTGTCGGGGGGCCAACGGCAGCATTTACTTTCCAGTGAGTTATCCAAATACCATCAGCCAGGCCTCAGCATAGGCCAGGAGACGGTTTCCCCTCAGCAACACAAGGCCCCCTTCCTCACCGATTCCAGCTGCTTTCAGAGTGCTGTCTTCTTTCAGCAGGAGTCTGTCGTCATCTTCCAAACTCAACACAAGCTCATTTGTCTTAAAAAAAAAAAAAAAAAAAAAGAAAGAAAGAAAAAGAAAATCTGCATTTTATCAGTACTTACATGGGTGTGTTCGGTGAGACTTCTCAAAGACACAGAGTTGTAACTTTGAGCACAGCAATAATCTAAGTAGATTCCACTCCCCTGGCTGTAATGAGGGCAGTGAACAGAGGCACAGTGAGGTCCTGCCAAGCGCAGGCACCACGTAAAGCACTGGGGAGAGTCCTGTGGCATGCAATGAAGTCAGATCAGGATGCAAATCCAGACTCCACCAGCACTCAGCTGTGTGTTCTCAACGAGTTACACGGCCTCTCTAGGACTCGATTTCCTCATCGGTAGAAAAGGGGAGGAGAGGGCTCCTTCCCCATCACCTGTGGTAAGGGTGACAGGATGGAGCATATAAATCCTCAGCAGTGCCGGCCACAGGGTGAGCACTTTCTCTTGGCTGTCACTGTTCTGTGGCTGCATCATCATCATCTTCTCCTGCCATCCTAACCTGGTCAGCGACAGAGTGGAGCTGCCAGCTCTGGCCAGTCTGACTTCTGAGAGAAGCAAGTATACTTCCTTCTTTTGTTTTGTTTTTTGAGACAGGGTCTCACTCTGTCACCTAGTGCAGTGGCATGATTATGGCTCACTACAGCCTCAGTCTCCAAGGCTCAAGCAATGCTCCCATCTCCAGCCTCCTGAGTAGCTGGGACTGCATACATGTGCCACCAAGCCTAATTTTTTTATTTTTATTTTTAGTAGAGACGGGGTCTCACTATATTGCCCAGGCTCATCTCGAACTCCTAAAGTCAAGTGATCCTCCCACCTTGGCCTCCCAAAATTATAGGATTACAGGCATGAGCTACCACACCTGGCCACAAGTATACTTCAAATGGCCATAAGTCCACATATCTAAAAACCTTGCCCAAGCTAAAAAATTTGGTTCCATGTCACATTAATTGGAATATTTCTCTATGTGATTTGGGGTGGGGGTAAACAAGAGTGCTCTCCAGTGATATTTACAAATCCAGCGAGACTCCATAAATACAAGTGAAAAATTTAAAGTTGCTATCTGCCTCTAAATAGCACAAAGAGATGACCACTAGTGTCACACAGCACCACTTGTCAACCAGAACACACCTGTTTAGCAACATATTCTATTTCTAGAATACAGCTGAGACAGAGAGTCAACGGAAAGGCCTCTCAGCAGCCAAATTCGAAGCCCACGCCACGCAGGGTTCATGGACCTCATTCCTCATTCACTGCAGAGCACAGGGGCTTAAACTCCAGAGCACACACATTAAAAGAAAAAATACTTTACTTAAAAAATCATTTTAGAATAGGTAATACAGTCTGTAATCCCAGCACTTTGGGAGGCCAAGGCAGGAGGACTGTTTGAGCCCAGGAGTCTGAGACCAGCCTTAGCAGGATGGCAAGACCCCATCTCTACAAAAAAAAAAAAGTTTTATTTAATTAGCTGGGTGTGGGGGCACACATCTGTAGTCCTAGATACTCAGGAGGCTGAAGCAGGAAGATATCTTGATCCTGGGAGGTAGAGGTTGCAGTGAGCTGTGTTCATGCCACTGCACTCCAGCCTGAGCAACAGAGTAAGACTCTGTCTCAAAAAAAAAAAAAAAAAAAAAAAGAATAAAGTAATTTTTTTTATTCTTTGTATAATAACTCATTATACAAAGTTCTCCAAGCACATATGAATAGGAAGTGAAAAGTCAGTCTCCTCCCAATCCCCATCCACCAGCTATCTAGTTCTCCAGAGAGGACCGGGACCACTGAGAGGCCCTATTTCCCATACTCTCCCAACACAGTGTGTTAGCAAAGCCTTCTGATCCTTGCCAATCTGACAGGTGTGGATTAAGTATAGTCTTAATTTGTATTTTATTATGCTCAAAGTTCTGAATATTTTCTATTTTTTGATGGCGTTGTAGGCTAATTTATCCAATAGAGTTGTAGAGTCTAGAGTATCTTCATATGCTAAGGAAATTCAGCCTTTTCTGTAAGTTAGAAAAATTTCCCCCACTTTTTATTTGTTCCTTGCTTTTTCTCAGTGTTTTTTTGTTGGTTTGTTTGTTTTGTTTTTTTTACATAGAAAGTGTTAAATAAATTTTCTTGGAATAAATAAGTTAGCGAATGAAGTAAAATGTATCAGTCTCATATCGTTTCTCAGTTTTCTGTCATATTTAGAAAGACCTTCTTCACTCCAAGATTTTTTAAATTCCACGTTCTCTTCAAATATTTTCATGAATTTTATTTTTTGAATTTTTCATCGTGGAGAATTTCAAATATACAATAGATACAGAATAGTGTAATAAACCCCCTGCCCTGTACCCAGGACCCAACTTGAACAAATTATCAAGTCATGTTCCATCTGTTTCATCTCTATCCTCATCTATGGGTTTAATTTTTTAATCCAAGGGGTATTTATTTTGGCATAAAGAAAAATACACAGATTCAACTTAGCTGCTTTTTAGATGTTTATGCAGTTATTCAAGTACTATTTACTGAATCCGCCATCTTTTCTTTACAAACTTGAAATGCCATATTTACCATACATTCAATTTCCACATTGGGGTCTATTTTTGAACTTTTAATTCTGTGCCCTTAACCTACCAGTTCATGTGATAGTGCCATACTGTTCTAATTACTATAGTCTTATAACATGTCTTATATGTTAGAGCTAATTACTCTCATTCTCTTTTTCAGAATTCTCCTGATTATTCATATTTTTTACATACTAATTTTCAAATCAGCTTATTGAGTTTACATATAAACACAAGTATTGTGTGTTATTGGGGCAGCATTAAATATGTAAATTGAGAGAATTTATTTTGTGCTGTTGTATCTTCCTACCCAAAATATCCTAAGCATTTCTGTTTAAGTCTTATTTTGGAATTCTCATAGCAGGTTTTGTTTTGTTGTTAAGTTGAAGTACAATTTCACACAATAAAATGCACAGATCTTGAGAGGAGTTTTTAATGGGTCTGAAAAATTAATTCCAGAGCTTAGATTCATATTTTCAAGTGTGTGTGTGGTGAGGGTTGAGGAAGGACAGCAGCATTTTAAGTTTTCTTTTTAAAGACCCTGCACATTTCTTATAAAGTTTATTCCAGGATATGACTTCCACACACAAAATGGAAATTAAAGTTATTGCAATCTCTTTAATAGAAATTATTCTGACTTTATAAACAGACCACTGATTACATCCATAATACACACATACACACACACACACACACACACACACACACACACACACACGGCTCTGGTGGGAAGGTATCCAGTCAGTCTTTTTATTGTTGGAATGGGAAGAAATTTCTGAGGATATGTAGTAACTGCAATTAGGAAAGTCTCTAAGTCCAGAAAACCAGGGAAATGGGAAAAATGCCTTTTATGAATGAGTTCATTAAGACAACAGAATTATTTAGAAGTCTCTCCTTTTGGCTGATGAAGGAAATTAAAATTATAGCTGAGTTGGAATACTGACAGGCCAGGCCAGCAATGCCACAGGCCCCGCAGATGGGGAATAGAAAATGAAAGGACAACAATAACTTGGAAATGAGAAAAATGACTGTGAGCTGGATAAGGCACAAATGAGGACATGTGGATGAAGTTTCTTTGAAGTTTTAAAACTGTATCTGTGAAAATATATTGAACTCTTCCCTTAGAAAAGCTGAAGTAGAAACTTGCAGAACCATCCCCAGGGCATCTTAACTAGCATTGTTATGATTTGGATGAAAGTTTATAAAGCTAGATTCCAGAAGCACTCTAAGTGACTTAATTGTTTTGGAAATCCTCCCTTAAACAAATACATTGTTCAACTGGAAAGACAAGCCCTAATTTTATAACGAGAACCTGCCAGTGTGAAACATATGTCTTAAATATAAGTAACAATTCTAAGATTGTTTCATCTTCCAATGACAGGATAATTTCCAGATTTCTAAAAATGTTATAATACTGATAATTTGAACACGATGAACTATGTCTTCACTAAGATAAAGGAATAATTTACTACTTACTCCTTTTTGGAAACATGAGCATATGAAAAGCCAAACGATGTAAAACATGCAGCAATGAATGGAGAATGGGGACTCACTTTGCTTTACAACCTTTTCAAAGAGTGTATTGTTTTAAATTTATTTTATATTTATATTTGTATTTTAAATATATTGTATATAATATATAAAAATATAAAATAGGACATTTCCTATTCTCTACATTTTAGGAATGAGGTTGAACACATTCCTGTCCCCAAGGAGAGAAACTGGACGAAGTCCAAATACGGTGGCCATACATTCTAGTACCAATCAAAAGGGCAGATTCCATACCACAGCCCCAGACACATGTGAGCATGACATTTTGAGGCATTTCACAATGGATATTGTAAAACTGGCATATACAATCCTTGGTATGAAAAATAAAGTTACTAGAAGGAACCAACCCTACTAAACCCTTAACTTTTGCTCAGTGAAACTGACTGATTTTGGACTTCTGACCTCCAGAATTGTAGGAGAATAAATGCATGTTGTTTTAAGCCACAAAAAAATGTTTTAAATAAATTTTAAAGCAGTTACCAATCGATGGTCAACAGACATACCCTCATGGCATTTTCTTGTGATCTGTGATACCCATTTATCTGAAAGGTGATTGAGTGTATGAAGTACAATTACGACAACAGAAGACAATGAAATAAAATGAATTCATAAGTACTTCCTTCAAAAATTGTTACGGAAAAACTACTATGAGCCAGGCATTGTGCCAGGTGTTGGGATACGACAAATAGTATCTTGTTCTTGAGTAGTTTATATAATACAGTAAGATTACTGCTTTAAAGAGGACTCTATAGAAGGCAACTGAGATTAAAGAGAAAAAGATCACTCCGCTCTGTCTGTCTGATAAATCTCTGATTGTGGCTTCATAACAATGTTACTCCAAAAAAGTAAAAAAACAGAAATATAAACACGCAACAAACCCATACATAAACAGCTCTCTTTGGGAAAGGCAAGACAGCTTCAGTATTGCAGGCCGTGGCCTTGGTGGAGCTAAAAGGTGTGCTCCCAGAGCCAGTTCTGTGCCTTCTCTTATACCCAGCAAGAATCAAATCAGAACAAGTGAATTATTTGTGTTTGCTTCTGGCCCTTTTGTTCTGGTACAGAATTAAGAAAATAAAAGACACTGGATTGTCAGATAATAAGCAGTTTCTTTTATCTGTAAACTGAATTTACTTTTCCAAGTTTTATGCTTATTTTATGCTAAATATGTGCCTGATAAACAAAATATGGTATACTTTTTTTTTTAATTAACACTTTTTGAAAAAGGACCTACTACTAACAGGGAAATAGCTTATTTTTCTTCAATGAAAAAGCCAAGGCAGTAGAAAGGGTACCTATAAAATAAAAAGCGCTATTATAATGGGAAATATTTTAGATGTACAGGTATTCATTCACTTATTCACAAATTCAACCAACATTGATTACTTGCTATGTGCCAGATACTGTACCTGTGGAACATACCTTTGATTTATGTGCTTGATGAATAATCTTTAGTGTATCTGAAAGAAAAAAGCAAGTTATCTTTTTACACGGTTTATTCTAAACTTCTTTTCAAATTATTAAAATGATTGGAGGGTGGCTATGAAATTGAGAAATGTAAGTCCTTGTTTTATAACCAGACTCACTTAGAAATATACTATATAGTAAAAGAAAAATTACTTTTGTAGATCATTAAAATTGAAGTCAAAGATCTTTATCTTTTAAAGCCTTGGTCTTTAGACACACAGCAGTATGTGTCAGAACTTTATGTCAACTCAGCACATTTTCTCTTAGAATGGAAGACAAGCAAATCACATTACTGTATCTTGTTTTTTGGAATCACTACAGACCAGGATTAGCAAATAATGTAAAAAAAAAGAAAAAAGTCTTAAAATAAACATTAGCAAAAGCAGTTCAAAAAAATCTACTCAGACGAGATACAATGACAAGAGAGCACATGATGACACAGGTGTTGCCACTCTCAGAATTCAAACACTGTATCTAGGACCACAGGTAATCAGAACAAGGCTGCTAATGCCCCAAGAATATCAGTATCTGCCTCTTGGTTTGCAAATACTGCACAGGCTCACACCATGTAATCTGCTCTATTCAAACCCAGCTTCACTCCTTAATTTGTTTATCTTCAAGTCAGGCTACACTGTGCATTTCCAGTAAGTAACTACTCCACACTTGGGTAAAATTCTAATTCAGCAACAATCAGCCCTTAATTACATAATCTACGCAGCCATTCAACAGGTTGAAATTCAGAAAGTTTCCAATTCTTCACTCGTTTTTATTTAACCATTTAATGAATGCATTATGATTACAATGTATTAGTGAATAAACTCCCAACCTTACACTAAAACTCATTTCTATCAATCACGTTGTAACAAGGAATTCCAACAGTGACAGGAAATGAAAGGATCTATTTTTAAAACAGATCTTATTTAACTATGTTCTCATAATACAGAATAAGGTGGCTATCGAGATAAGAACTAGCACTCTGAATCTGCCCATTATTTTAAATAGTCAACTTTCAGTTATCTATTGCAATTTTGTTTTTTTTTTTTTTTTTTTTTTTTTTGAGACAGAGTCTTTCTCTGTCACCCTGGCTGGAGTACAGCAGCACTATCTTGGCTCACTACAAGCTCCACCTCCCAAGTTCAAGCAACTCTCCGGCCTCAGCCTCCCGAGTAGCTGGGATTACAGGTGCCCGCCACCATGCCCGGCTAATTTTGTATTTTTAGTAAAGACAGGGTTTCACCACGTTGGCCAGGTCTCGAATTCCTGACCTCAGGTGATCCGCCCTCCTCGGCTTCCAAAGTGCTGGGATTACAGGCATGAGTCACTGCACCAGGCCTTGTAACTTTTTATACAAGGTCAACATAATCCTCAGACTATAACTCTGTATTCCTAAGAAATAAAAATAAATCTAACCTAAGTAAAATGTGCATATTAAGGATGTAAATAAACCGTAATTGCTAAAAATAAGCTTAAAATGAGTGTAAGAAAATAAACAAAGTTGACTTTCAGCTTATCTAGTATTCTGAATTATCCATCATGCTTTTTCTTATTGTAGATATGTTTATTATTTGAGACAAGTGAGAGAAGCCAATAGTAATTTTTTAAATAACAGGAGCTCAAAGTCTGTTGCAATCAACCTGCAAAACTATAGTCTGACCTTACTAAATATTAATCCTGTTCTATATATTTTGCTAATGAGCCTTTCAACTAGAAATCCTGCTGCTCTAATAGGTTTGGCAAACACACAACTAAATGGCTACATATTTTAGCAGAAAAAGAAATGTTTTGAAGAGAAGTTTTTGCCAGATTTTTCTCTCCAACAGAAAGGGGTGTGACCTGAGGAATGGGTAAGAAAGGAGAAATGACAAAGCAGCAAAGAGATGTATTACTGTCCCTTTCTGTGTTAAGTAAGTTACTTCCCTTGTTCTTGCTTCTTTCAAATCATCCTCATAATGATCACAAACACCACCTGTGGGCATTGTTTTCTAAATACAAATTCCTTGAGGAAAGCAACCTCACAAAAATATCATCTTGTATTTGTGAAGCACCACACTCAGCTTTACGAAACAGAGAGGGATGAGCAGCCCACACTGTACAACAACTACATTTTTGTGTGCCCTCATGCGTCATGTCTAGGCGATAGGGATTTAAGATAAGTAGTATGCATGGTAAATCAATAATAGATGTGGATGCCAATTAAATGGGAGGAGGGCTCTAAGAAATCTCAGGCTCTTGGTGGCAGAGAGAACCAGCCCTTTGCCAAAGGGCAGGGAGACAGTAACAGGCAAAACTGAAATTTAACTCCACACTCTTTCCACTCCCTAATACCCAACAAAGTGCTCTGTCCTGCAGACTGTGAGGTGGCAATCTCAGACTGTGAGGTGGCAATCTCAGATGACAATGACAGGCGAAAATAACACTGCAGCCTTCCTTATTCAACAGAAAGCAGAAGATTGTTAAAGAGCCAAGTTCAGACAAAGCCATTTGAAGTCTACGAAAACTCAAGTGGTTCTAGAATTTCTTCACAGATAAATGTATTCATTTTTTCTGCCAATTCATCTGAACAGTATAGAAATACTAGGACAGAAGGATGTTAATAAGATAGAATAGCCTAAAAGGTACATTATCTACTACAATAATGCTTAGCAACTTGGATATTCTAACGCTTTCATTATCTAAAATTTCTTTCAAAAGAACTTCCATGGAACACAGCTTTGCACATAGACGTATAGACACACACACACACACACACCATGAAAAAGGAAGCCATATGTAACTATTCTAATTTAAAATGGCATCTGTAAGTTGATTCAAGTTTAAGGCTATATTTCAAGACATTGTATTTTGAAAGCCTTGAAAGCCACAATTGAGAAGTTTCATATTTACCTTAATCATCCTTTTTATTCCTTTCTCTTATTCAATATTGAGTATGTAAATTCTTTAAGCCCAATAAATCAAAGTACTTTCCACTCAGTGCCTTCAACTTCTGCTTCACTACCCCTTATAACCTTACAATTAGTTTCTGGATATTAAAATGCATACACATGGTGAAGATTGTGATTTCAAAGGATTTTAGGTCATAAGTTGTTCTATCAAATGAGAACAGAATGAAAAGCCACTCCAAAAAAATAATCTAAGGTAATAAAAAATTTATACTTTCAAATGTCTGCACCAATTAACAGAAATATGTATTAGGTGCATCATACCTTTCAAGGGAAGTCTCAAATTCAAAGATTGGTGAGTGTCCCTCTGCTGAAGGTTAATAACTGTGCCATCTTTATAACAAATAATGAATGACATCTAGCTTCTTGCCTTATTACTCCATTTTTAAATCATCAATTGTAACATATAAAACTACGATATAACATGCTCAAATTACTGGCATTTAAAATGTTAAATCCCTTCTTTTAATTCTTAGTCTTCAATCATTTTCCTTTTCTAATTATCTGGCAGAGAAACTCATTTTAAACACAGTTTTGCCAAACATGCTATTCTTTGCAAATATGTCACTTCCTTACTACTACAATTCATTTGCGTAACATACTAGCATTCCTATATTTCTAAATAAACTTCCAAATTGGTTTTTATTTACAGATAGTCAATTCATTTTTGAAAACAAAATATAAGTTTGTAACAAACTAATGCAAAATTGTATTACTATATAGTTTAAAAGAATAAAAAAATGGTTACCATATTTATAATTTCTGAATGGTGGTGGCAGGCTGGTCCTTAAAGGGACATCTACAAGAGAAAGATTATTCTTATTACACAATAAGCAAATAGACACTCATGGAATATGTACAGTCTTTTGGTTCTACTCTTCTCTATCTACAGACTAAGTTACTTTGAAAAAACTGATAGAACACAGAACGAATACATCACCGAAATCCAAGGGCCATCTATATTAGTTCATTTTCATACGGCTATAAAGAAATACCCAAGACTATGTAATCTATTTAAAAAAATGTTTAATGGACTGGGGAGGCCTCACAATCATGGCAGAAGGTGAAAGAGGAGCAAAGGCACATCTAACATGGCCAGGCAAGAGGGTCTGTGCATGGGAGCTGCCCTTTATAAAACCATCAATCTCATGACACTTATTCACTATCATAAGAACAGCGCGGGAAAAACCCACCCCCATGATTCAATTACCTCCCACCAGGTCCCTCCCCTGACAGGTGGGGATTATGGGAGCTACAATGCAAGACAAGATTTGGGTAGGGATACGGACAAAGCATATCACCATCTAAAATATTAGAGCTATTGACAAGATGTTGAGCTGTTACTATTTGAACTAAGACTTCAGTAACACTATTAAAAGAATTTTTAATTTCATTAAAGACAACAGTATCTATGTATAGTTAGAATATATACTAATACACTTGTGTGAGACATATATATATAGCTGATGTTCGTTTAGCATATGAATCTGAGAACCCCTTATGGGTCTCTGACCGTTAGTGGAAACCAATGACCTGGAACAATCTTACTACTCTTACCAAAATTCATATAACCAACAAAATAACTCCTCTAACTCTGCAAAGACAACAAAACAAAACACAGTAAATATTCTTTTAAAAACATATTCCAAATGCCAGTACTAATTTTAATTAATAAGATCTGCTGGTACAACACCTAACAGAGAAGTGTGTGTGTGTGTGTGTGTGTGTGTGTGTGTGTGTGTGTGTGTATAAAAATTATATATGCATACACTCCTTGACCTAGTCATTCCACTTCAGAATGAATGAGTGAACGAATGAATTTATTACTTGATTGAGATAGGGTCTCATTTTGTTGCCCAGACTGGAGTGTAGTGATGCAAACATGGCTCACTGCAGCCTTGACCTCCCAGATTCAAGTGATCCCCCTGCATCAACCCCCCAGGTAGCTGGGATTACAGGTGCATGCCATCACGCCCAGCTATTTTTTGTATTTTTTGTAGAGATGGGGTTTTGTCATGTTGTCCAGGCTGGTCTCAAACTCCTGAACCTAAGCAATCTGCCTGCCTTGGCCTCCCAAAGTGCTGGGATTACAGGCGTGAGCTACTGTGCCCTGCCAGAAATTTATTATCATAGAACTATACTATGCACACGTGTGTGTGTAAAATGACATTCATAGAAGGGTATTAACTGCAGCATTGCTCACAGCAGAAACTGTTAGGAAAAGTCCAAATGTCCTTCAATTAGGTACTTGTTAAGTAAATCGTAATATGCCCAAACAATGAAAAGTACTTTTCAACTGTTAAAAGAAAAAGGAAGCTCTCTACTAACATGATAAGATCTTCAAGTTATGTCAAGGCTAAAGAGATATGACAGAACGTTATTTTTAGGATGCTACCTTTTGAGTAAAAAGGGGATGAAATGAGAATTTATGGTTGGATTTGCTTGTACTTGCTGACTGGGGGTAGGGAGGGCAGGGGGGTGGTGCACTGGTCAGACAGGGACCAGAAGAGGAAAGGAGACTTTTCACTATATTCCTTTTTACACTTTGATCTTAAAACCACATGAATGTGTTATTTACTAAAGAAAACTAAAAATGAACCACAAAATCCACATATCTAAATTAGGAAATGTGAAGGTTTTTTGAGACAGGGTCTTGCTCTGTTGCCCAGGCTGGAGTGCAGGGGCGTGATTATGCTCACAGTAGCCTTGACCTTCTGGGCTCAAGCGATCCTCCCACCTCAGCCTCCCAAGTAGCTGGGACTACAGGCGCTCAGCACCATGCCCATAGTCCCGGCATTTTTTTTTTTTTTTTTAATAGAGATGGGTTTCACTAGGTTGTCCAGGCTGATCTAAAATTCCTCGGCTCAAGCAATCCTCCCACCTCACCCCCAAAGTGCTGGGATTACAGGCATGAGCACCTGGTCAGGAAACGTGGGGCTTTTAAAAATGCTTTTTCAAGGTCAAATACATATCAAATTAAAATAGAATTTATTCATTTATGTTACAAGCATTTAAAGCACCTACTACCAGGTATTCCAGGAACAGAGTGAAAGAGGAGCTGCCTACTCATGACAGCGAGTGCTCCCGTGGTGAATGCTGTAACAAAAGTACATTTCCAGCCAGTGCTACGGTCCTAGGAGTGTGGTCCTCACCCGGCTACACGTCAGAATCACCCAGCCTGGCACGAGTGGATCCAACTCACAGTAGGCTGGTCCCAGGCAGAGAAATTTAAACACAAAACAAAACAAAACAAAAAAACCCTGAGATGATTCGGGGCCAGACAGGTGACAACAGGTGAGTGAAGCAGGTCAAACAAGGAGGGGCAGTGGGATCTGAGAGCATGAGCCCATCAAAGGGGGCTCTGCCAGTCAGTGCTGACTGATCAGTGCTGTAGGAACATGAGCCTGGAGTGGCCACACTTAAAGATTTAAATGGCAATGCTACAAGTCTAGGGTTTAGGTGAAATTTCTTGACTTTTAAAACACTATAGGCCAAAAGAAACCTCTCTGGAGGCAGGATTTGCCCTGCCAGACACCAATTTGAAACCTCTGGCTTAGGCTTACAAGAGTATACGCACTTCATTTTATTCTTCTTCTGTCTCAATCATTTGTGAATTATGGGTCAAAGAAGTATTCATTAAACATCAGAAAGGAGAATTAATTCCATTTAATGTATTGCCATTTATATTTCCTGAATCAGACAATGAAACTCCCTGAAGATAGCCGTGAGGTGAAGAACAGATGGCCCCATGAAGCTATTATCATTTACAGATGTCTACGACTGAAGAAATCAAATCAGTCTTACGTTCAGTCCAGACTTTTGAGAGCAGAGACAATGACCAGGACACAACATGCACCTATTCTCTTCCTGCCTTTAAATCTTAACTGAAGTGCCGCCTCCTCTGACAGCCTGCCTAAAGTGGGGGTCTTCTCTGATATTGTTACCTTCATGACAAGTTTTATAATTATAGTTTTTTCTTTTAACTTATTTTTGTCTCTATTTCCTATAAATTTATAAATTCCTCGAGATGACAACATGGGCTGTCCTCTCAAAACCTAAGACCATGTCCAGCCCATAGCAAATTAACACAAACTGGCTTCATGAGGGCAGGGACGATGGCCCATTTTCTTCATTGTGTTGTCAGAACCTAAACTAGTGCCTGGTACACAGCATGTGCTCAAAAACATTCATGAAAGAATACATATAATTTAATGCCTACAATTGCCAGTGAAGAACACTGAGGTCTCAAGAAGTGCCTGGTCAGTCCAAGGTGTCAAGAGCTGAGATCAGAACCCAGCCTTCTCAACTCCCCTCCTGCAGCACTTAAAAGGGTGGGAACTAAAGCGGTTACCTTCCACAGTGGCAGAAAGACAGATTAGAAATTAGACACACTTCGGTGAGATAAGAGCTTTAGCAAAAATGCACATAAAGATGTCTGCAAAGGAACTAGAATAAAACAAACATGTTCCTTAAGGTAAAGGTCATTTTTAATCTTGCACTATTACAAATAAAGCTGGGAACATTCACATGGAGGAAATTACTTTCATTCCTCACAGGAACATACTGTCATTCCACCTAGAAGTGGAATGGCTGGATCATACGCTAGGTATACGTTTAGCTTTCTAAGAAACTGCTGGCAGAGTGCAGGGGCTCACACCTGGAATCCCAGCACTTTGGAAGGCCAAGGTAGGAGGATCGCTTAAGCCCGGGAGTTCAAGACCAGCCTGGACAACATAGCGAGACCCTGTCTCTACAAAAATAAAAATTTTAAAAAGACACACCTGTAATCCAGCACTTTGGGAGGCCAAGGTGGGTGGGTCACCTGAGGTCAAGAGTTTGAGACCAGCCTGACCAACATGGTGAAACCCCATCTCTACTAAAAATATAAAAATTAGCCAGGCGTGGTGGCACATGCCTGTAGTCCCAGATACTCAGGAGGCTGAGGCAGGAGAATCGCTTGAACCCAGGAGGCGGAGGTTGCAGTGAGCCGAGATCGCGCCATTGTACTCCAGCCTGCGTGACAGAGCAAGACTCCGTCTCAAAAAAAAAAAAAAAAGACATGGTAGTGTCTGTAGTCCCAGCTACTCTACTCAGGAGGCTGAAGCAGGAGAATCACTTGAACCCAGGAGTTAAGGCTGCAGTGAGCTATGATTGTACCACTGCACTCCAGTTTAGGGGAGACAAAGCAAGACTGTCTCCAAAAGAAAGGAAAGAAATGATAAATCATGTTCCAAAGTGGTAGTTCCTTTTAATATTGTCACTAGTGGTATATGAGAATTTCAGTTCTTCCACATCCTAGTCAAAACTTGCCACAGTTACTCCTTTAAATTTCAGTCATTCTTATGGATGTGTTGTGTAATCTCATTGTGGTTTTAATTTCCGTTTCACTAAAGACTAATGATGAGTATTAATGTGCTTATCTGCCATATATATGTCTTCTTTAGTGAAGTGTCCGTTCAAATCTTTTGCCCACTTTTAATTGTGTTGTATGTCTTATTATTGAGTTATAAGAGGTTTTAATTGTTATTATTCTAGATAATAGTTCCTTGTTGGATGTATGTTTTACAAATATTTTCTCCACATCTGTGGTTTGGTTTTTCATTTTTTTTAGTATATTTTGAAAAGGAAAAGTTTTTAATTGTGCTAAAGCCCAACTGATTTTTTTCTTTTATAGTTTGTGCTTATTGTGCTGTATTTAAGAAACTTTTACCAAAATCAAAGTCTCTAAGGTTTGTTGCTGTTTTCTTCTAGATGTTTTATAGTTTTACCTTTTACATTTAGTTCTTGGCCAATTTTGAG